ATATAGATATAATATTTTTTTTATGTCGGTAGGTTTGACTCTTGTCTTGAAAATAAATTATAAAAATTGTCTCCATAGTTTAAAAAAAATGTCCTTGTGTATATTTTTTATACAGAAACGGTCCATATGTTTGAAAAAATTACAAAAATTGTCTCCGTACTTTACAGAAAATATCATTGTGTAATTTTTTTACAGAAACGGTCAATATGTTTAAAAAATTACAAAATAGTCCCTACCTAATTGAAAATTTGCAGGTTTGGTCCCTATACTTTCATACGTAGACAACTTTGGTCCCCCAAATAGTACACACAAAACGAAAAACGATTAATATTAATACTTTCCTTTTGTATAACTAGAATATAGTAAGCAAAATCTAGCTATGAAATGTAATTTTTTATTATAAATTTTTTTTTTGGTTTGGAATTACTTAAGAACGTGGTTATTGTTTTAGAACACAAAATAAAATTAGTTATTTTTGTTAACAATCTTGTTCACAATGGTTAATTTTAGTTAGAGTAAATTTTACGAATCATCCATGTGATTTGCCATAGATTGCTAGTTTTATACCTATGTTTTAATTCATCCGACTTGTCATATTTGTAATTATGAAACTTGCAAGCTTCTTCCCTAATAAATTGACAATACTATAATGCCCTTATGTATTATTTTTGTAAATTTTATGTTACTTGTTAATATTTTATAATTAAAAAAAAAACAAAGTAAACCCCACCCCATCCCTACCCACACCATCTATATTTCTCTTCCTCTCTCATCTCATAAGATCTTTGTAACGCCCCGATTCTCAAAGTATTGATTTATGGTTAAATTTTCATGATTTCAAGGTCTACTCGACGAGTTGGGTGCCCTGACTCGTCGAGTAGCAACGGGTTGGTCCACGTGTTTAAGTGACCTACTCGCCGAGTCCAAGAAGGGACCCGACGAGTAGGAGCTGGAGGATGAAACCCTAATTTCTGGGGTTTTGCACCATATTTAAGGGATCATTAGCCTCCTTTGGGCTCCTTGCAGCCTCCTGAGAGTTCAGTGTGTTCCATTATTGTGTGTTTCAAGCTTTGGAAGGAGGATCTTTGTATGAGAGAGCTTGGAGAGCAAGTGGCTAGAACCAAGGAACATGTGGGGATCTGATATCTACCTCAGTTGGCATCTTTTGGAAGGTATCAAGTCGTTACCTTGACCTCATTTCATTCTAGATCTCATTTGGTTAAAGATTTGGGCTTTTGTAGCATATTATGAAGTTATTCTTGGGTATGAGCTCAGATCTGAAGTTGTAACTTCAGATTTGAACTCTCTTTGATTTGTAAGCCAATAAAGATATCAGCTTTGGCAAGTATGAACCCCTCCTTAAGTGTAAAACTCCATTGCAAGCTTGGTTTTGTCATTATGAGACTTTAGAGCCTTGCATGCACGTAAAGTTTGCAACTTTACGTGATAAACATGCCTTGGGAAGCTGAATCTGCAATATGGAACCTTGACATGGCTTAAAAAGCTTCTGAATGGATGAAAGACTGAAGGGACTCGGCGAGTTGCATGGTCAACTCGGCGAGTCCGATGAAGATTGCCTTAGGCTCAGCGTGTCAGACGAGTGACTCGGCGAGTTGGCAAGTTATGCAAGGAACTCGGCGAGTAGCTAAGGGTACTCGACGAGTTGAGGTCAACATGGACTGTTGACCGTGACAGTTGACTTTGACCAAGGGTTGATCAATTGACTTCTGAGGGTATTTTGGTAAATTGAATATTGATAGCAAAGGACATTGGTGAATATAGGTGTTGGAGTTGGAGCTACATCTGGAGGAGTTTGACACTACCTTCCGAGCTACTTGCGAGGTGAGTTATCCTCACTATACTCAAGGGTCTAAGGCACTAAGGGCGACCCTTTGGATTGTTATCTGGTTATGTTATGCTAGTATGATCTGTTAGAACGGTATCCTAGAGGGTAGGGTAATATTATATGGTATGTGGTATGACATGTTAGACCGGTATCCTAGAGGGTAGGATAATATTATATGATATGTGGTATGATCTGTTAGATCGACATCCTGGTAGATAGGATGATGTCATGTGCTATGTGGTATGATCCGTTAGATCAAGTATTGTCTATAGACTGTTATGTGATTATCTGTTATATGTGCACATGTTCGTTTAACGGTTGAGGTTTATCTGCTTTGTGCGGAGGCCAATAGACCTGGGCATTCCAACCTGTAGGTTGTGGGTCGTGAGTATTCCATCCCGATGATGATTGGACTCGTAGTATGTGGGCATTCCAACATGTTGGTTGTGGGTCTGGGGTATTCCATCCCGAGGATGATTGGACCCATAGTATGTTGGCATTCCAACCGGATGGTTGAGGGCCTAGGGTATTCCAACCCGATGGTTGATTGGACTCATAGTATGCTGTTTATGATTATATGTGTATTGTTGTGGTATGAGTATTTTGGGGGAACTCACTAAGCTTTCGGGCTTACAGTTTCAGTTTATTGTTTCAGGTACATCAGGGGATCGCGGCAAGGCGGATGCGTGATCGTACAACTCCTCACTTTTTATGACTTTGTTTCTGGGATACTCTGATATGGTACGTTTTGAAAACAAGTTTTGTAATGGTTAATGGTTTTGGAAATGTTTTAAAAGTTTTAAACTGGCTTGAATTTTATGGGTGTTACAATCTTAAACCCTAAATCACATTAAAACACAACTACATCAACCAACATAGCTTGACTGTCGCCGCCACCATAACCAGACCGTCGTCGTCGTTCACATATCTGATTTGTTTGATTTTCGCCTCCAACTGAATCGTCTCATCCACACCTCTGATTTGCTCGGTTTTCATCGTCCACACCTCCAATCTACTCGATTTACACCGTCGTCTGCATCATCCCCTCCATACTTCTGATCTTCTGGATTTCGCTATCATCACCAATTTATTTGAATAGAGCTTAAACCTCTCTTCTTCGAAAAAACACTAACAAAAAAGCTCTATACTAAATGCAAATGTGAGTGAGTTCTTAGATTTGATTTGATTTTGAGGTTTGGATTTTTATATTTGATTTTTAGGCTTTTGAACTTCAATTCAAAAGAAAATTCTAAAAAAGTTTGTGATTCAGGTTTTTGGTTTCATTTTGTAGTTTGATATCAGAAAATTTTGTGATTTCAATTACGTTTGTTTGGTTTCATCTGATTTGGTGTCGGTAATAACGAGAGAATATTACTCGTGCTTGCTGAATGGGATGTCGAGTGATGAAAAAGAAGGGAGCAGTGCGACAATATTAGTGGGTCCATCTACATAAATTAATAAATAAAATAAATAAATAAATAATAAAAACTTAAAGAAGATAGAAAATAATATTCAATAAAGACATTATAATCTTTTTGGTAGATACGAAACATGTCAGCTTTAAACTAACCGAAAATAATTGAGTAAAAAATAAAATACAGGGATGAAACTTACAGATTGAACCAAACCACGAGGAAGATTAGTATAATTTACTCTTTTACTTAATCTTTTACTTAATATTTTGTCTTTTAATCTTTCCACCTAAAAGAGTCACTAATTATTGTTTTGATTTTTGTAACAA